TCTGAAAATGCGTTTCGATTTTTTGAAAATCTTTTTCGTGTTATTTGTCTTTGTTTAGTTATTATTTTTCTCTTTAGTGTTTGTCGTTTTGTTCGAATGTATCCAACTGTTTGTGTATGAGGTGTGATTACAAGGTCGTATTTTTTGTTATCTATTTCACAATTGTGTAAAACGATTGTTTGTTTATTTCCTAGGTTTTTAAATGACATAAGGTTTAGGATGACGGATGCAAAAGGTTGTTAAATGATTTCTATTTTCCTAAACTGTTAGTTCTTACGATTTTTTGGTTAGCTTAACCTGGGTCTATTTGTTCAGGGTTGGAGAGAAAAGTATATCGATTCCGAAGAATGATTTTTTACTTTCTCGTGGCTAGTATAAGTTAAGGTGTTAACTTACTTAATCTTACTTAGGGGTAGTGATTGTGTTCAAGGGTTGGAGAATAGTAAATCGATCCACAAGGTTCAGGTATAATTAGAACGCGAGTAGTTCGTTAGATACTATTTTAAACTTACTAAGTCTAAGATTTATCCTGGGTCTGGTAAGAGGGGGGGTCAAGTGAAGGATGAATAACCGAAGTTCTTCACTGTTTATCCTAATTTGAATGATTAGTTTTGTTTAAAAATTTCTATTAGTCTTAGGTCTTTAGAAAGGGTTGGGTAGTGAATCGACGTTTGAGGTCGTTAGACACTAATTAAGTGGGTGGGGGAGAACAAAGTTGTTCTGTTTGATCCAAGGATAAGCCTTGATGATCAAATTTGAAATTTAATTAAGTAGAAAATGATTTAAGATCCAAGGATAAGCCTTGATGATCTGGTTTTAAAATTAAGTGAATTTAAGTTTTAATAAATTTTTAAATGTGTGTAAAGGAAAGATTTAGTGTTTTGATGATATTAGTGGGTTTATGATTGCTGTTATGTTTTAGATGATGGAGCTGGAACAACAGGATGATTTATGATTACTAACCATTTATTGTCATGCTACTAATTTTTATTTTTATTTTTCAATAAATATTTTTCAAACATGTTTTGTATATTACTGCAGAATTTTAGAAAACGATCTTAGATCTTTTTATCAATCGTTATTGTATATTAATAATTTTGTTTAGCGCCTGTAATGATTTTGAAGATTAACTTCAAGATTTTATGTTTGCAAATGAAAATCTAAATTCATTGCCAGTAGTATTCTAAATATAAAAGTTTGCTCTGGTTTTTGCCTAACTATCATATAGCTATATGGCAAGTTTCTACTTTGTCGTATGTCGTCTCTGGTTCGAGGTCTTCTTCCAATTCCGGGTAGTTCTGTTATGGTTCGGAATATTGGCTCTGATCTATTGAGTCGTAGAGACATTTCGATTAAATTATTGTCGTATAACATTTTGTAAATGTTTTTGTCTAATTTCTAATCTATTTTGGTTAATTCTAAGCTATTAAGGTCTTGTTCGAGACTTAGGGTCGCACCAGATGAGTTAGAACCGAGTTGGTTAACTCATAGAGTAATTTCGGATAGGGTACACCGTCTGCTCGTCACGCTATCTTATTTTCGGCCGGATAGATTCGTGCAACTTCTTAGTCTAATACCGATCCTAATCTTACTCTTATACTATCTAGTCTCAGGTTGTTTAACTAGTCTCTGCTAGGCTCAATAGATCTAGGGTATACTGGTTTATTGCGGTTGCTGAAGTGCTCGGGAGAGTCCAACTAATTTCTAAGTTAAATTCAAATCTCTCTGGTGCTGAAATTACAAGTAACTTCAGCACTTACAAATAAGTGGGTTGTTAGTTAGATGGATCATGATTGGTTAATATTAAATACTTTACATTGGTAAAATATCTAAATTATCCAATCATAAAATGTAGTTTAGATCAGGTTCCACTATGATTGTCAATTGTTCTTTTGGTTCTGTCAATTTTCGACATTCAACTATTATTGTTAAGTATTAGAATTACTGTGTTCCAATTTGAATTGATGCAAGTCATTTGGTTGTACTGGGGGCTAGAAAACTAGGTGACAAGCAAATTAGGCAATCAAAAAGTAATTGAATTTAGGCCATAATTTGGATGCAAAAAATGTTGGCTAAAAATACTCATCAATTTACAATATTTAAACACTAGTTGTCCAATCACAAATAAGATTAATAATGTCACAGTTGTATATTTTATGCATTTCAAAAATGAATTGAAATATTTCATTCATCGTTTTATAATCAATTTAAAAAATAACTCTTTCAGTCCTCTGATAATATGAGCCTTTTGTTTTTGTTTAACTTCATTCTAAACCAATTTTTTTTGAGTTAACTCTAATAGTTTGCCGAGTTTTTTTGCCTAAATTCATAAAATACTTCTCGTCTAAGTTCGGTTATTTTACAATCGTCTAATTTTGTCGTCTATTTTTCTTTCTTTCTTTCTCCAGACCAATTTTAAATTTTAAGAAAAAATATTATTGAGCAGAATTTGTTATACCAACTGAAAAACATTGACGTCCTGAGCTCAGTCTTAAATTTCAACCTAGCGTATGATTAATTTAAGTAAGTAATGGGGGTTTGACTGGTAATGCCAGTTTGGCCAGCTTGGGATCAAAACACGCGAGAACTATCGTGCTATTAACGCGTAAGCGACTATTGAATCGACCCAGAAGCTGTTCCAAAGTCAAACAAGACTGCTTGTATATCAGGGCAAAGCCCTGAATGTTCCGGCAGCCCCTTAATTTATATCAAATACTCAAATGCTTTTTGGGAGAAGTTATTGAAAATCTATAAAAATTGGACAATATCATAGTGGGAAATTTTGAGTCGTTCCGCTAGCCTCAATTCATTTCAGAACAATTTTGTTGTGCAGAACAATTTTGTTATGCCACGCAAAATTAATTCGCGTTACGCTCTCAGCATTATGAATAAACTCCTCAAAGCGCGCACAACTTAGTAAGAAAATGGCCAACTTGGCAATTTTCAAACCCGCAGAACTTTACAAAAAACATCGGAGGTAAAATATTTTTTTTTAAAATTTGAAGTCGATATCTTCGACTGAGTATAAAAATTTTTGTTGGAAACTATTATTTCGATCGGCGAAAATTGACTGAATGAAAAAAAAACACAACGAGCATAAGTTTTCCGTTTTCTTCGAAAGTCGGAGCAATGAGGCAACAACTTTGGTGTATATAATACGGATCTAATTGCTAAAACCATCAACTTGAACTTTGCTTTTTGTGTGTGGCGCCGAATTGTTAGTAAAATGACAATTTCAAAGACATCGATGGGCAGTCAGAACGTACGTGGTTTTGCCCTGATAGGTCAGTCGTGTCTATTTTTATACATATGTGATATCCTACGAGGTATCTTGATGGAAAACTAAATTGTAATTCTAAAGAACTGAATTGGTTCTTGAATAAATAATTTTCTCTTTAAAGAGCTGCTGAGATCTACATAGATTTATGTTTGTCTGATCTCTCAGCGGTGTACCGAAGGTGTTAGATACCGTGACCTTAGACGATGGTATAATGTAAATAGAGTAGTTCACTGAAGGTTACATCACATTACTGATGTGCAGTAGCAAAATCACAACATGCAGCGCTCTCTCTGCTTGAAACTGAGTATCTCAGCAATTTCTTTGACAACTACTTTAAAACCAGGGAATTTCCGTAACGAATAATCTCGGGCGAACTTAATATGAGCGTTTTATGATTACTGGCGTTCAGCGGGCTGGAAAATTAAATGTACCATTACCTTGAACATATAAGTTGCCACCGTAATCTTACAAGTGTTCTCCCAAAAAGTCTTGTTCCGACTTTCGAATTTTTATGCTGTGGGTGTTTTTTTTCAGTCATTTTTCGACGTTTTATCTTTGAATTTTCGGCATTTTTGAGGCAAGTATTTCAGTCATATTATTAGGATACAAGACACTAAATACAGATTTTTGTAGTTTACAGAAACGTGTGGAGGATAAATATAAGAAAAAATGGAAAAAATTAAGTTTTTTTTCGATAAGTTTGTCAAGTTTCATCCAAGAAACGTTTGAATTGACCTTAAAATTCAGGCCGAACATTCAGGGATTCGCCTTGATGTACGAGCAGTCTTATGAAACACCAGAGATTTTTATTTATCAATTCTCTTACTGCGTCTTCATTGCTCGTTAAAGATAGTGAAAAAATGAATTTCAACTGAAGAAACTCGTTGAGCCTTTCAATGGGCGTGGCTTATATCCCCTCAATCAACCTGTATAAACCTTTGTGAAATCCCAAACTTCTTAAGGAACAATTCAACAAGTCCATCACCGTATGACCAAACTGATTTTTCTTACAAATTCAGGAGGTTTTTGCAAAAACAGATCCAACGGGTCCCCTGGTTGAAATAAGTTTTTTTGAGCTCAATGATGTTGAAAAAAATACCGTCAAAAAGTTGAATATTGTCTCAACAAAAACGATACAAAACTGCACCGAGTTTTATTCTTTTTTCTTTTGTGTTTTAGAAAGTCAGAGCAAACATATCCTTTTTATTTGAGATTATTGATGGTGTTGGAAGAAACTAAGAAAAAAAATGCATGAGTTGATTTTTTTCTGACAATTTCTCTAATCGAAACAATAGTTTTAAACAAACTTTTTCCTCAAAAAAGATCTCAAATCTCTGAGTTCAATTCTACAAAGCGCCTCAATCTAAATACATCCAGATCGATCCTAATTGACTTGAAATTTAATGCTCAATTATTTCAATTGGTTTTTTGGGTACGAACTAAACACTGAAAATATATAGCTTCGAAGGTTTTTTTTCTAACAAAGCAGTTCGAGACCTTTACAGGGCAGTCAGAATTTTCGCCCTGAGATTCGAGCAATCTGACTTAAATTATGAGATACAAGTTTCCAATTTAAAACAAAACTTTAAAACTTTCAAATCAATTTTCTTCGTAATTTTCCTAGGCCCAAACTGTCCGTGCGATCTTTAAGAATTCCTTAGCCACGCTCTCGGTACATAGCTCTTAATTTTTTATTAAGTATGTAAAAGAAGTCGCTTACCTTTTCTATTGACGTATCGGATGAAGACGTTGACGATTTATCGCTCTTTCTGCTTCGGTTTTGACTCATCTTCTGAAGATAATCGTCAGAAGATGCGATTGACTGGCTATTAAAAAACAAATTATATTCCTATTTGGCAAAATGCAGCTTAACCCAGAAAAGAGATCATAAATAAAATTTCCCTGAGATTAACTCCGTAATTTAATTGTACTGTGATTTCTATTTTGACTACGGAAAGGTTTCATCGTTGATATAAAATGAACACAACGTTTAGTGGTGGGGAGACGAAATTTTGTTTTTGTTATTAGAAATAAACCTCGCATATTGTTGGACTCTTTCAGAGCAAACCAGAAATCTTCCACATAAGCCGGATTATCCATGCAAGATAAGAGCGGACATTTTGAAAGCAGAAATTGATTGCATAGTCTGTGTTTGGCTTCAAAAAAAGATAAAAGCATCTTGAGACAAGGCGAAAGCGTGATCAAACGGATGAAGTTCAACTGCAACCAATATCAGAAACAAGACTGCTCGTATATCAGGGCAAAGCCCTGAAAGTTCCAACTGCTTTTTTATTTATATCGAATAGTTTCTGGGAAAAAAAATTCAAAAACTATAAACTTTGAACAATATCAAAAATCAAGTATCAAAATTTGAGTCGTACGAAATTAATACGGCCGATTAGCTAGCCTCCATTTAAATTGAAAATCTAAAATTGAGGATCAAATCAATAAAAATGGTTTGCTGTTTTTTAAGCTAAGCTGAAAGTTCCGATTAATTTTGTTTTTAAATCAGCAGTGTGTCGTTGCATAAAATAAAGAAAAAGGAAAAGTCTCTAATTTAAAAATTGTTTATTTTTTGTTTCAATTTTTTTTTCAATTTTTTCAGCAGATGTCAAGATGTATGCCAAAATAGCCGTCTATTAAAATGATGAAACTTCAAGTCGAACAAAACTGCTCGTATCAGTGCGAAGCCCTGAAGGTTCCGACTGCCTTTTCCGGTCTATGGAGCAGTAATAACATTAAAAAAACAAATGTAAAAAAAAATCAAATTTTTTTTCATTAATTTGAGTTTTTTCGTTAAATCATCTCTCCACACGCCACATAAAGTACAAAAGGATAAACTACACTTCTTGTAACAAATCAATTGTGGTACATAAGCTTCTTTCAACCAATTTGGAACGACTTCTAAGACTGATTAAATATCCGCTTACGCGTTAATAGCGCGAAAAAAATCACGCTTTAATTGTCCCAAATTGGCCAAAACTAATTTTTAAACCCCCATAACTTTACAAATAATGATCACAGTTGAAATATCATTTCAAATTTAATCTCAGGACAACAGTACCTTTTGAGTGATATTTAAAAAATCCCGTCAAAAACGGCTAGTTAAAAAGTTGAAATATGTCTGAAGACAAAAACACCCACCCCGAGCACAAATATTCGTTACTTTTACTACTAAAGTCGGAGCAAAACCAAATAGGCTCCGATTTATACTAATTTTGAGAATGAAACGCGTGCCAAAAACGCACTTTTTCGTCAATATTTCAAAAACGTTAAAAACATCGTTTTTTGTTTTTTTTTTCTCTAAACGTTCACCTGTTATGCAGGAAAGTTTCTTCATTTCATCTTGAGAGATTTAGGAATTTAGGAAGAGGGTTTTGATTGGTCTAAAAAGGATAAAAGTTAAAACTTGTATCCTTTTGATAAAAGTTAAAACTTGAAGCTTGCCAGCCTCTTCTGCAAAATCTTAGATCCAGTTTTTTGGAAAAAATCAGATTCCACTAATTCTAGAATTATTTTCCCAGTTGAAAGTTTAAGGATTGAAACAATCTAAGCCAATCAAAATTTGACTCATTTTAGGATATCTTATCAATTTTGAAAAAAAATAAGTTGCCAGTTTTGAGTACCAGTTTAGTGTGATCAAAATTTTCCATGGAATAATAACAACTCTCTAAATCCGTATATTCCGCTCAAAAATTGCGATGGTAATGGCCTAAGATACGCAGAGATTTTCAAATGAGGCAACCGTTTTTTTTTGGTGTCAAAAAACACCAAATGTTTCGAAAATTGATTTTATCAAAGAAGATGGGACAATTAACGCAAAATAAATCATGTAAATAATGAGTACACGGAGGTTTAATCCGTCTTAGAAATAGTTCCAATTTCAATTCAAGCATGATGTTTGATCTATGCGACATGCGAAATATATGACTTTGTACTTTATATAGCGCGTGGGAGATGACTTCAAAAGAACTGAAATATTTTATTTTTCGGAATTTTTTTCCGGAAATTTAGTCTATTTTTTAATGCAAACACTCATTCCATCGTTTTTTCTCAGATCAATGTTCATTTTCTAACAGATGTTGATTTTAGATCCATTCAGTTTTTTAAAGATTTATTTATCATTCTGAAAAAAAGTAAGCAAATGAAAATAACTTAGATCAAATTTCTGTCACTACCGGACACGAAAAAAAGTTATATAATTGGAAAAAAATTGCTGGATCCACCTTAGAGCTCGACCAACTTTTCTATCCAGTAGCAGTTAAAGGACTTTCGAGTTTAGTAGGCCCCCATGAATTCGAGCTTCTGGGGTATTCCCAAGATTCCACACTTTGAGGCTTTTTTAGTACTGGGATTGCACAATACCAGTACACCACGCCAAATTCATCCAGGTTTTCAAAAGGGATCAGGACCAGGCAAGATCTTTTCAAAACCTGTACTATCCTTCATACAATATGCATACAAAAAAAAAACAATTAGTTATGGCTGCGTTTCATTGTCGTATTGGTTGCAAGTACGAGTTTGATTTGAAATTTTACTCAAAATTGTGAGTGAGGCTTTTTTCACTCAAAGCACCGAAGCCAGTTTTTCGTCTCAAAAGTTGTGATTTAAACAAAAATACATAAATGTCATTTTCTTATGTTGCTTTATCTTTTCATACGTCAGAAAAATTTCATCAAAGTTTTTAGATACGTTTCTGGCTGCACTAAATTAAAATACTGAAAAACTGCTCGGGGAAACAACGATAGATTTTGAAAAAAAAAAGTTTTTTTTTTTGCATTTTTAAGCTTTGTGTTCCTGACCCAAAACATTAATTTAGACTTCTTTTTAAAAATTGCAGTGTAGAGTTCCTAACTCATCTAAACATTACAATCAAACACAAGGTTGTTAAAAGTTCTGCAAAACTTCAAAATGGAATAGAAATAAACAGTACGCGTATTAAGGTTTCTTAATCAATGTACCAAGGTTTCAAAGTCAGTTGAACTTTTCTATTGGCTTCACAAAAGTTCTCACTTACACACACAAAAAAAACTGCTGTCAAATTCAAAATTCGATGTTTAATTGCCTTAACTCACATAGACTAAAAAAACGTTTTTAGGCAACATCACGCACAATATTTTTTAAATATGAAACGCGGACTGTCGTCAGGAACGGTGCGTTGCTAGGGCATCCTACAACCCACTTCAACAAGATGTTTTCAATTTATCGGAGCTTTTGTTACCTTACAAAATTATTTCAAAGCTTGTTTCGAGCTTTACGCTGATCGCCTTCCAGCCTTACTAGTTTGTTCGTCAGATCAAACGTACGTCTTCAAAGTTGGTTTCGCCAAGCTTTTGTCTCGCTTGCTAGTCATCTCTAGCTTTTCTCGTTTGCTCCACAGAGCAAACTTTTCTAATTAAAGTTGGTTAAACCCAGCTTTCTCGTCGCTTTGCTAGTAGTCCTAGCATTGTCCGTTTTTTCGTAAGTGCAAACACTTCTCCTGAAAGTTGGTTCCGCCCAGCTTTTGTCTCGCTTGCTAGTCATCTCTAGCTTTTCTCGTTTGCTCGATAGAGAAAAACTTTCTTCTTAAAGTTGGTTAAACCTAGCTTTTTTGTCGCTTTGCTAGTAGTTCTAACATTTTCCAATTTTTTTTAAGTGCAAACACTTCTCCTGAAAGTTGGTTCCCCCCAGCTTTTGTCTCGCTTGCTAGTCATCTCTAGCTTTTTTCATTTGCTCGACAGAGCAAACGTTTCTCCCTAAAGTTGGTTAAGCCCAGCTTTATCGTCGCTTTGCTAGTAGTTCTAGCATTTTCCGTTTGTTCGTAAATGTAAACACTTCTCCTGAAAGTTGGTTCCGCCCAGCTTTTGTCTCGCTTGCTAGTCATCTCTAGCTTTTCTCGATTGCTCGATAGAGCTTTTCATCTTAAAGTTTTCTCCTAAAGTTGGTTAAACCCAGCTTCTTTCTCGCTTCGCAAGTGTTTCTAGCATTTTTGTCAAACAGTTTTCCGTAAGGTTGGTTAAACGCAGTTTCTTTGTCGCTTCGCTAGTGTAATTAGCATTTTTGTATGTTTTTCAGAACAAACCGTTCTGCCTCCTTAAAGTTGAATAAACCCAGCTTTTTCCCCGCTTCACTAGTTGTTCCTTACTTTTACCGTTTGCTCGTCAAAGCAAATTTTGCTGCTGAACAGTACTCGTGCTTGTGTTATTCACAGCAAGGCTCTCTTTAAAATAACCAGTCGCCACTGGTTTTACCTTGCGTGCCGTAGGACACTACTTGACTAGTTATTATTAGTCTTTCATCCCTTTATCTATTTTTCGTAGGCTACGCAATGGGTCCCAAAGTTAGCAAACATATGAATCAATGGTACCGTCGATATCGTTCATTAGAAGAACTTGCTTCGACTCTGTTAAGCTTTCCCTCGAGGAATTTGTTGCTCTGGTATTAAAAATTGAAAGTATTGCTGATGAATTAGCTTCCTTTTCTTCTGACGATGTCAACGACTCTTTTGAACGTACTTCTACATTGCTCAATAGAAAATGCAAAGCAATTAAGCAAGTGAAAAAGTAGGAGAAGTCTTGCTTGGGAAACAGTACATCATTCAATCGTAGCTTAGTTGCTCCAGCTGAAAACAACCCCATAGCTTCTTTTAAACCAGTGTGCAGTTCTAGAGTTAACTGAGTTCGTACAGCAACAATAGACACAAGCCGGTCTTCATTTACAGCTGAAACAAACTGAGTCGGAATGTCTCATATTGAACAGGGGTGCTCCGTTTTGGACAAAGGTCCATTAAATCGTGTGACATTTCAAGACTGCAACTCTTCTGTAGATGAGAATCTAATTAGAACTCCACACAATTCAAACATCCTTCTCAGCTCTCCTTATGGAGCAGAGGCTCCAATAACAGAAGAGATGACGCGAGATTTTAACCATTTCACTAGAACATCCACTGAGCCTCCACAACACATTAAAGGCTTGTACAATTCAAGTTCGAAGAACATTCCTTCTCCAATTCTGCATTCCAGAACTATGGATTTTTTCAAGGTCAGACTCGAACCTTTGACAAGCCGTTGCCAA